CAGAAAAGGAGATTAATCGGTTGCTTCCGTTGTCCGTCTGTTGAATCACTCTCTTTAAAAACTGGATTCTCAGGATTTGCTTTCCCTATAAACCATGATTATGATGATCATAGTTAGCATTGTGCATTGCTTACAACCGTCTTGTAAGGTAGGCCAATATTGTCCCTAAATTACAAGCAGGGGGCTGAGATAGAGAAAATAGTGGCTTGCCTAAGAAGATCAAGTGAGTTTGTAGCAGAGGGGAGATTGGAACCAGATTTTGCCTCATCCAGACTTCAGGAGGGTTGCCAACTTTGGGTTTGGAAATTCCTGGAGACTTTGGGGTGGAGCCTGGGAGGGTGGGGTTTGGGGAGGGGAGGGGAGGGACCTCAGCGGGGTATAATGCCCGGGAGTCCACCCTCCAAAGCAGCCATTTTCTCCAGGGATCCTGATCTCTGTAGTCTGGAAATCCGTTGTAATCCCAGGAGATCTCCAGGCCCCACCTGGAGGCTGGCAACCCTGTTTCCAGTTGCTTAGCCAGTATTCTGCCAGTCACCTTTCTTGTTTCTTTTTCTTTGTATTTTTGCATTTGTGTCTGTGTGCCCATGCCTGGAAGTCATGGCGACCTCTGGCGACTCCTACTGGGGCATGGAGGACGTTCAGAGAAATGGCTTGATAGCCTGCCTCTGCCTCCCGGCCCTGGTATTCCTTGGAGGTCTCCCATCCAAATACTTGCCAGGGTCGGCCCTGCTTAGCTTCTGAGATCCGATGAGATCGGGATTGCCTGGGCTGTTCAGGTCACATTTCTTGAAGCCGGATGGACGTGTGTTGTTTAGGAGGCGCAGCCGACCCCCGCCACACAATACGAGGAGGATGACCAGTCAATAGAATGAAGTTTTCCTTTTGGCTGCCTTTCAAGAGGCAGCACACGAGCAAAAGCAAATGCAGGAAAAAGAAAGGGCCCGTCTGCAGCAGGTGGTGCCTGGCGGGAAGCCCCCACTAGCAGTTGTTCGATAAAGCCGAGCTGAAGTCATCTTCCGGTAGTGAGGTCACTATAAATATCTGGCTTGAAGAGTGGGGGGGGAAATTCTTGACAGAAGAGGAAATAACTTACAAGTAGTGTGGAGGTGGGAAGGGGGGGGGATGGAACTTGCCTTTAGCTGAGTTTCATCGGCTGGTTTCTTCTGCCGCTCCCCAAGTGAGCATCGGGTGCGTGGGAGGGAGGTGAGGCGAGAATTTGGCAGCACAGGGAATTCTACCAGGTGGGTCAGAGGTAAACAATCCCTTGCCTCTTCTTGCTCCTTTCTGCTTCCGTACACCTCCCTGCCAGGGCGCTCTCCTTCTTGGTAGCATCCTTGATAATAACTTGATGGCACAAGCCCGGACAGATCGTCTGATTACGCTGCTGGCAGTGCACACAGTCCAAAGGGCGTGGTTTAGCATTCTCTCCCCCCCCTCCCCAGTAGTTGCACAGCTTCCTGGGTCATGGTTCCTCAGATCCTGTGGTGCAGCAACTTTCATGGTGGCTGCATGACTGGTCCCACTCGCCACTTTTGTAGGTAAACTACAGCTGCAAATACACACTCCCATAAGTTTCCTGCTTTTATGCATCCGTCTCCCTACCGATTTCACTAACCTGTGTGGTTATTAAAATGTTGAGTCATAGTTTTTACTTGAGGGCCCTTCCTGGTTCTCGAAAGTTTGCACAATGTTCCGGTCAATTTGGTTAGTCCTAATAAAAAGTATTACGTGGGTTTTCTTCCTGGTGCTGAATAAAAGGCATGTGAGATAGTGTGTGTGTGTGGGGGGAGGATCTACTCCTTGTCGTTCATGTCTGTGGCACAGTTCTTCCCACCTTTGTGCCAATGCAAAATAGGTGCCTGCCAATTGTTTGCAAGGCAATGAGGTATTGAGTGTACTGTGTATGAGAGTAACTTTTGTGGGATCAGACCAAGAACACTGCTTTCAACAGTGGCCAGCCAGATGCCTCGGGGATGCTTGCAAAACAAGTTACGTAATGGTCATGTCAATGAAGAAATGTCTAGTTTATCTATAGAAGGGCTATTTTGAAGCCTCCTCTTGTGGTTTCAGGTAATGAGTTTTTGGCCTAGCCAAACACCTGCTTGGCCTTCCTTGGGGGGGGGGGAGAGCAATCCCCACCTGTGTGTGGCTAAGATGCAAAGTAGAGTGCTAGTTCTATTATTCAGGTGCCTCTGTTTGCGAAGGTGCCTCTGCTCTGCTTATTACCCTTCAGGCTGTAAAAGTTTCACCCCGTGGACCTTGCAGTGTGCCTGACTTGGCACATGTGCAGGAACACGTGAAACAAACAAATCTGATACTGTGATTGGCTGCTGCTTGTGTGGCGTATGTGAGTTCTGAAGCCAGCACTGCTTGTGGTAGGAGACAGCAGGGGTTAATATTTAGCATGTGTCCAGTGCTTCCAGTCTCTAAAATGTTTCATGCACATGATCGCAGTGATCCTTACAACATTCTGGTAGGGTTGGTCAGTGCTAGCCCCATAATGCAGATGGTCCCCAGACAACAGGGGATAATTCCCCTGGACAAAATGGCTGCTTTGGAAGTTAAACTCTGGGGCATTATACCCTACTGAGGTCCCTCTAGGGTTGTCACCCTCTAGGTAGCAGAAAAATCACAGAAACACCACAACAAAAAATGTCAACCAATGAAACAATTGTTTTATAACCTATTTGTATCTTGAATTTCTTACTGAGACAAGTCAATGAGCATCTAAGACGACAACAATTTGTCTGATTCTGAAAGTAATAACTAAAGGGAAAAAATCCTATGAACACTTTCATGTAGAGGACATGCAATACAGTCCAGCACTTCAGCCTTCAGCATGAAAACTAGCAATTGCAGGTGTACCAATCCGGCCAAAGAGCATCTGTATTTCCGCCCGTTTCATTCATGGATTTCTTCAGAGCTGAAGTGTTTCAGGTTGTATTCAACATATTCCCACATAATTGTGATCTGGAACCCGTGCGCCTGCAATATGACTGTGGAGAATCACCAATCTGTATAATCTCCCAACTGTGGCAGCAGCCTTCTCACACTAAATTGTTAGCCAGAGGTTCTCAAAAGAATCATAAGATTTTAAGAGGATACAAATGGGTGATTCTCTACAGTCATATTGCAGGCACGAGTTCCAGATCACAATTACATGGGAATATATTGAATACAACCTAGAACATTTCGGCTCTGAAGAAATCCACAATGAAACATGTGGAAATCTAGGTGATCTTTGGCCGGATTGGTACAACCCTCTAGGTAGCACCTGGGAATCCCCCGGAAATTACAGCTCATCTCCAGACTACCAAGATCCATTCCCCTGGAGACAAGGGGATGCTTTGGAGGGTGGACTCCGTGGCACTGTACCCTCCTGAGGTTCCTCCCCGCCCCAAGCCGCGCTCTCTCCAGGCTGCATCCCCAGATCTTCAGGAATTTCCCAAGCTGGAGTTGGCAACTGTACAGATGGGAGGCTGCACGCAAATGGCTTGGCCTGGTGGTTCCAGAGGGATAGCCGTGTTTGGTTATTGTAGCAAAATAAGCCAGAAGGAGCTGCGGGGCTCAAGTGGTTAAGACGCTGAACTCCAGGCTGTGGAAGGTCGGTAGTCCAGCAGTTCGAGACCCAAGTTTGCCGCATGACGGAGTGAGCTCCCGTCTCTAGTTCCAGCTCCTGCCAACCTAGCAGTTTGAAAGCAAGAAATTGCAAGTAGATAAATAGGTACCACTTCAGTGGGAAGGTAACAGCGTTCCGTGCGCCTTGGTGTTTAGTCATGCCAGCCACATGACCACGGAAACGTCTTCGGACAGCGCTGGCTTCTTCGGCTTTGAAACGGAGATGAGCACCGCAACCCTAGAGTCGGATTCGACTGACTTTCGAGCAAGGGAGACCTTTACCTTTAAGCCAGAAGTCCAGTGGCACTTTAGGATTAACATGTATTCTAGCTTGAGCTTTCTTGAGTGAGAGCTCACTTCCTCAGATGGCACAGGGAGCTTGCATTTCAGCCAGCACCCTCCTGAATCTCAGCTTGCTCTTGGCCTAGCTCGGAGGTCCCAGGAAGGGAGCCACAGGGAGGCAAGAAAATTCTGGGCACCCTCCTGTTTGTGTGCTGTTTGGGTTGGGACTACACTTTGTGAGGGAAACTTGTCTAGGGGGAGGGATCCTTGGCAGCTTTGACAAGTTCCCGTTTTGTGTGTGTGTGTGGGGGGGGGGGAAAAGGGGGGGGGGGAACTGTTTGCAAGCCTGTCTCCAAATGATGCCAGTCCATAACCCAGCAGGCAGCCTCCTCGGTGAAACAGGTTGTATGAGCTACCCTGTTTTGTGTGTTTTGTGTCCCGTTGTGTGTGTGTGGAAGGGGTAAAGGGTGATGGGGAACTGTTTGCAAGCCTGTCTCCAAATGATGCCAGTCCATAACCCAGCAGGCAGCCTCCTCGGTGAAACAGGTTGTATGAGCTTCCCTGATAATTGGCTCTCTTTTTGTTTCTAGGTGGAGGGGGTGTAAAACTTTGTCAAAGGACTTTCTCGAGTAATTACGGTTGCTTGGTGGAGCCAAGCTTCAGTCTTATGGTAGAGAATGGAAGGTCTTTTAGGAATTAGTTATGAGTGAGGTTGGTGGGGGTTTTTTTAAGTGTTTGTAGTCGTTTGGATATTTTTTAAAGAGTTCTTTATCTTTGGCTGTATTTCAAAATTGTGTTATGAGCTAATATGTTAGATGAACCAACTTTCTAAACCTTCCCCAGCTGGAGGTGGTGGTGTTTCCTCATACTCCACACAGGTAAGTGGCTGTTGACATCCTCGCTGTCAGGGTTGGTGACTCACCAGATTTACAGGCATTCCTTTCCAGAAGCATCTCTTCAAGAGGCTGATCTGCATGACCTTCTGCAGGGCCCTTACTTGCTTGTTGCTGTGTTCGAGCGCTGAAGGGAGACTCCTTCTCTGTCACTCATCTGCAAAGTGAGGTCTCCTGACAGCCATTTTTTCCCCTTTCTCCCAACAGGGTCCTTGGTATCAGGCCAGACCAAAGAGGAGATCCAAGTTCCTGAGAATCAGTGTAAGTTCTGAGAAGAAAATTGTGCTTAACACGTGATGCTGCCTGATACCTTCTAGCCCACTGCTATCAACCCTGACAGACAGGGAGCTTTTGAGGGCCCCGGGCAGAGAGAGCTCTTTCCTAGCTCTTCTGCCTGGAGGGCATTTCAGGAGAGGCCAAGGATTGAAATACCATACAGGAGCTTTCCAGGTACTCTATAGTACCTCTTACCTCAAACTGTGCCCCCCCCCCATGGCTTCTATATCCACCCATACCACTGGAAGGTTGTTTTCAAGCTTTTTAAAATATATATGTATCAGTAATCGCTAGACTTCTATAGCATTATATTATACCAATCTATTGCCACGATCTACTGGCCCCTCTAAATCCCCAGCTTTCATTCTAAAAAGTCTCTTTTTAGTTTGGAGTCTGCACTTCTAATCAGTACACCAATCTGGGAGAGCCGGGTTTGATTCCCCACTCCTCCACATGCAGCTGCTGGTGTGACCTTGGGTCAGTCACAAGTTCTTCCAGAGCCGTTCTCTCGAGAGCAATCCTCAAAAGAGCTCTCTCAGCCTCACCTACTTCATAGTAGGCTGTCTGTTGTGGGGAGGGGAAGGGAAAGGAGTTTGTAAGCCGCTCTGAGACTCCTTTGGGTAGTGAAGGGCGGGGTATAAATCCAATCTCTTCTTCTCCTTCTCTAGCCACTTCTAATTGCGGACACATCACATCTCCAAACCAAAAGGATGGGAGACTTACTTTTTGTAAACAATAGGAAAGCTAGAATTCAGAGGGGCCGGCATTATAATGATATAGCAAGCACACACCTCTTCTTTTTTTTTAAAGCCCGGAACTAGTCCTCTTAGTGGCATGATGAGGGAGAATGGTGGCTGTGAAGGCCTGAGGGAAGGAAAGCGGTGCCAGTGTGAGCAGGACCCCTGGATAATGGGGGAGGGCAGGGCAGTGCAGCCACCCGATCACGTGCTTGTGCTGGTCTTCCCCAGAAGATCAGAGGAAAGCAGATCTGGGAAAGCGAGCACTAAGGAAAGGGAAAGTATGGCTAGAGCAGGGGTCCACGACCGTTTTTGAGCCTGTGGGCACCTTGGAAATTCTGACACATGGTGTAGTGGGCATAATTAGAAAATGGCTGCTGTAGGAGGCGGAGCCAGCCACAGAATATCAGGGAGCGAGGTCATATCTAACTCTATAGTACCTCTCCAACATTTCAGGCAGAAGCTCTGTTGAAAAAGATGCCCGCCCACTCCACTTGGCAGGCACCAGAAAAGGTGTCCACGGGCACCATGTTGGGGACCCCTGAGTTAGAGCATGATTATACCATGACATTCTGTGGGTGTTCCCGAACAGACAGACAAAAAACCACTGCGGTTTGCTAGCTTGAAGCGGGGGGGTGGGGGGACACACCTGTGTGGAAGCAGCTTATGACTCTGTGTGGTGGAGGGCTGCGCAGTCCCTGCTTAGTCTTGGCCTTTTAGAACCTCTGCACCCCACACCAGTCTATTGTGTGTGCCCCTGAAGTACAGAAGCATGGGTTAACTAGATATGTTCCAGGTGTGTGTACCTTGTTCCACCAGCATGAATGGGGCCCTTCCGGCCATGGAGTGTCATAAAACGTTCCCTTTCCTGCCATCCTGGTCCCCTTCCTGCCAGAGCTTCCCTTGTGTGATGAGTGCAGCTGGCTCTCCCTGGACAGTCCTTTTTCCTTCAACAGGAAATGCTCTTTGAAGGTGAAGTGCGGGGGAAGCAGTTGAGCAACGCTTCCCCTTCCTGCTTTGAATATTCTTTGGAGCTTTGCTTGCCTTTATGCTCCAACTTTTTGTCTCCCCCCCCCCAAAAAATATATTTTTAAAAAACCCTTTGGAAGTGCTAGCACAGCATTCAAGCAAGGGGATAAGGAAAACAATCCGATGCCTCTGATGTCACATCTAATCATCAGAACAAAAAAACCCACACCCCTCTGTGTGTGTGTAACATGTGTAATCATGATCTAGAGGCTGTGTCAGGATTCGTGTTAATTCTTCAAGGAAACGCAAGGCATTTCATGCTCGCTTCCTGCTCGTCCAGTGTTTTTGTTATAATGAGTCAATCTGTGAAGCAACTGGGGCTGGTTTAAGCTTTTGGGGAACCTTCAGCAAGATGTTACATTCATGCCACCCCGCTTGTTGCGGGGCCTGCCTTATGTGGAGGGTGCCCAGCTCTAGGAGAGACAGGCAGAGGCAGCATGGCTGTTCCCAACTGTGTGGGTCTCACTCTGACACCTAGAGAGAGCTGCTGCTGCTTGTATTCTTTGAGGAAGCAGGTGAGGCTGAGAAGGGGGCCAGGTGTGATAGCACCTATCTGGGACATTCTGGTGACCAGGACTTCCCAAAACCTTCCAGTAATGCGGTTGTAGGAGCTGCGGTGGCTCAAGTGGTTAAGACGATGAACTGCAGGCTGTGGAAGGTCAGTAGTTCAGCAGTTCAAGACCCGGGTGCCGCAAGACAGGGTGAGCTCCTGTCTCTAGTTCCAGCTCCTGCCAACCTAGCAGTTCGAAAGCAAGAAATTGCAAGTAGATAAATAGGTACCACTTCAGTGGGAAGGTAACAGCGTTCCGTGCACCTTGGTGTTTAGTCATGCCGGCCACATGACCACGGAAACGTCTTTGGACAGCGCTGGCTCTTCGGCTTTGAAACGGAGATGAGCACCACAACCCTAGAGTTGGATTCGACTGGCTTTCGAGCAAGGGAACCTTTACCTTTTAATGTGGTTGTAATAGCTGTTCCATCCGATTCCTGGCCTCCTGTTGCACCAGTCGGACAAGGAACAGACTTCTTGCCACGATAAGCTTAAGGAGAAACAGAATTTGATTATTATTTTTTGAAGAATGAGACTCTGACTTGAGTCTGTCAGATGTGTAATTGAGCAGCCGTGGGTGGAAAGGCCAATGTGCTAGGAACTAAGGTTAATTTTTGGCTCCAGTATTATTTCCACAATTGAAAATGCTTCCTCCAGGTATTGTTTTAAACCCAGAAAGGGGGGGACAACCATGTTTTGCTGTTTGTTCTTCCCCATTGCTTAAGAGACACTGAGAGGGTATCATTAATCAGTAAAACAATGTTATCTTCTTCGTGGTCTCTGTGCATCACACCCTTGGGAATATACTGCGCCTGCGCTGACCTTCTCGGTACCGGTAGCTAGCAAAAGGGATTTTCGCGCCTCTCCCAGGTCACGCGCCGGCTCCACTGCACATGACCAAGGAGGGGCACGCAGATCCCGCCAGTTCTTTTCTGACCGCCGCGCTGGTAGGACGCCTTCTGCTTCGGTCTGTTAAGTACCTAACTTTCTGCTAAACTTGCGTTTAGTTAGTTTCCTTTTCTTTATTTTGTTTTTTGTAGTTAGCATTTTTCTTCGGTGTGTTTGTTCCTTGTCTTTAACGTTTCCCCCTCCGCTGGCCTATGGCCCCGCGGTGGGGTTGTTTCAAACGGTGTAAGACTTGCGGCCTTAAAATATCTCCCACCGACGGGCATTCGCTTTGCCTCGTCTGTTTAGGGGAGTCGCACTGTGTTTCTAAGTGCGGACATTGCCAGAAATTCTCGAACCAGACGAGAAAAAACAGGGCAGCTCGTCTGCACTTGGCTTTGATGGAGAAGGCGCTATCTCCACAGTCGTCTTCGCCGTTGGACACGTCCGGGCACGCCTCGATGTCCACCCTGGCTGCGGACACTTGTCCTCCCGTTTCGGGACCATCGACGTCGACGGTCGCAATCGATGCTTCGGCACCGAAACGATCGACGCCGATAAAAGACCACCCCGTACCTTCCAAGATCCGGAAGCAGGGGATATCTGATGCCGTACCTTCCAAGATCCGGAAGCAGGGCAAAGACTCACAGCAGTCGAAGAAACCTAAAACGGACAAGTCGAAAGTCCATAAGGTTTCAGCTAGTCAAGGTCGAGATCTCACGCAAGAACCTCATCACCTGATTGGTTCAGATCTCGACATCGACCTTACTCAGCAGACAAATCAGTCGCAATCTGATATGTCGAGTCGTCAATCCTCTCATGCTTCCCCGGAACGTGGAGTCGATGATCGACACCGACCGGCATCCCCTACTTTAACCTGGGATGAGAGACAGTGGCATTACTTGTATGGAAGCCGATACCCATACCCATGGGCTTTTCCTCCACCACCTCCACCTGACTGGGATCGTCAATCGGTGTCATCCCGCATCTCGCAGTTTCGGGATCGATCCTCGGTATCGAAGCAGTCCATGCCGATACATCCACCAGACCCGGCTGCACCCCCGGTCAACATGCCGACAACGCATCAACCGGAATTACCCGGATCATCCCCGGAACCATCCAATGTATCCTCCGATTCAGACGACTCCTCTGAACATATAGAGGACGTGAACATACAATCCACCCCACAGGATGTGGAAGCGGATCTGCCTATTTCTCCATCAGAGGATGTTAAGTCATATGGAGACTTTGTTCAACGTATGGCGTTGGACCTGTCTATGACTCCTACTCTCGTTGCCAGTTTCGTGGATGACAATGTTTTTGACATTATGCATTCCAACACTTCGCCTTCTGTGGCTCTTCCAATGACAAAAGTCCTCTTACAAACTACTAAGGACTTTTGGACCCATCCAGCCTCCATTACTGTATCCAATAAACGTCTGGATCACATGTACAAGATCCAAGAATCTGGGGCTGAGTTTCTATACACGCATCCTAAACCCAATTCTTTGGTCGTATCGTCGTCCACGAAAGGAAAATCGAGTCACTCAACGCCATCAGATAAGGAAGGAAAGAAGTTGGACTCGGTGGGCAGAAAATTTTACACTGTCGGTGCAATGGGCATTAAAACGGCAAATTATGCAGCCTGCATGGGCCGCTATCAGTTCAATTTGTGGAAACGCTTAAACGACTTCCTTCCACATGTACCAAAGGAATGTCAGCCTCAGATTAAGAGGCTTCAAAATGAAGGGATGGTACTGGCTAGACATCAAATTAGTGCTGCCAAGCATTCCTTGGAATCTGCTAGCAAGACTCTAGCAACTTCCGTAGCCCTACGCAGACATGCCTGGCTCCGTTCCTCCTCATTGCCATATGATACCAGATCGTCGGTGGAGGACCTTCCTTTTGAAGGCTCTGGACTGTTTAGTTCCACCACTGATACGGTATTACAGGAAATGGATAAGAGTATCAAGACGTCTAAAAGTCTGGGAATCTCTCCCCCAACTAAATACCCTAAGACCAAGCAATGGCCTAGACAATCTTGGTCTTCTAGACAACCGTACAACAAATCGCCTACGGATCAATGGCAAAGACCTCCCTCTTCTCAGTCAAGGTCTTTTCCCCCTAAGAATAAAGGACAATCATCGGGTGCCTATAAGTCGAAGTTTCCCAAGAATCCCAAACAGGGGCTTTGACTTCAGCCTTACTGCTCATACTCGCCTCGCTCCCTTTCTTCACGCATGGCTGGACATTTCTACAGACAAATGGGTTCACTCTATAATAAGAGATGGCTATCTCATAGAGTTTTCTCAAATCCCCACAATTTCCCATTTCGTCGGAACTCCAACGTCACCTGTCCTGATGCAAGAAGTACGATCTCTGTCACTGAAAAACGCTATAGAGATAGTCCCGGCGGCAGATCGTTGCCACGGGATTTATTCCAGATATTTCACGGTCCCCAAGAAGGACGGAGGACTTCGTCCAATTATGGATCTAAGATTTCTCAATCGATTCATTGTTTACAAAAAGTTTCGTATGACCACTTTGCAAAGTATTTTACCACTCCTGCCTCCAGGGACATGGATGGTCACTTTAGATCTCAAAGACGCTTATTTTCACGTCTCCATCCATCCTCGTCACAGAAAATTCCTCAGATTCACGGTCGGAGAGGACCATTATCAATTCAAAGCCCTCCCCTTCGGGCTCTCTACCGCCCCCAGGGTTTTCACGAAGGTAATGGTGGTTGTCGTCGCCCACCTTCGTCTTCAGGGCATTCAGATTTTTCCGTACATAGACGACTGGTTAATGGTGGCAGATTCAAAGGACTGTCTCCTTCAGCACATCACCATTACACTGTCGACCCTATCCTCCCTTGGAATTCTAGTCAATTTGCAGAAATCCATGCTGCAACCTGCAACTCGCGTGCAGTTCATAGGAGCTGTCATAGATTCCCTGGCCACTCGGGCCTACCTTCCTCGCCAACGGGCAGATACCATTCGTCTGGAAATTCGACGTTTGTTCCGATCCAATGTGACATCAGCAGTCCACGTTCAGCGGATCCTGGGTCTCATGGCAGCCACCACCTCTGTGATCGAGTGTGCACGCCTTCGCATGCGTCCGTTGCAGCTTTGGTTTCTAAAGAAATTTCGCCCCTCCTTTCACCCCCCAAGTCTTCGACTAGTCGTGCCTCCTCAGGTCCTTACCTCCCTGCAGTGGTGGCTCGTGGACACCAATTTGCTGGCGGGTGCACCGTTCCAACCGATTGTTCCCGTGATGTCGATCACCACAGACGCCTCCCTGTGGGGTTGGGGTGCTCATACGGACGACACTTGTGTGGGTGCTCCATGGCAGCCCCTTTGGAAACGTCATCACATCAACTATCTGGAACTGCTGGCCGTAAAATTTGCCCTCAGATCCTTGCACAAACAGGTTGCAGGGAAAGCTGTGTTAATATTTACGGACAATACAACTGCAATGGCTTATATCAATCGCCAGGGCGGGACAGTGTCCAGATCCCTTTGCAGGCTAGCTATGGACATATGGGAAGAGTGCCTTCATCGGAATATCACTCTCCAAGCTGCCCATCTGCCAGGAACTTTGAACCAGCAAGCAGATTTCCTGAGCAGAGGAGGAGCATCGGACCACGATTGGGAGCTGAATTCAAAGTATCTCCTCCCTCTTTTTCAACGTCTGGGACATCCCCACATCGATGTTTTTGCAACTCGATTCAACAAGAAGTGTCCCATGTTTTGTTCCAGAGCGGGGTTGGACCCTCTGTCACTGGGGGACGGCCTGTTGATATCGTGGGCTCACAACTTTCTGTACCTATTTCCTCCGATTCCGCTGCTTCACAGGGTGTTGGTGAAAATACAACACGACAAGCCCCATTGTCTTCTAGTAGCCCCCTGGTGGCCTCGGCAAGTTTGGTTCCCGACACTGTTGAGGTTAGCCAAGGGATCCTTTGTACACCTGCCGCAGGAGTTGGATCTCCTCCAGGCTCAGGAGGGCCAGGTCCTTCACTACGATCCTCTGAGTCTCAAGCTGACTCTGTGGGAAATACGCTTTCAGTGATGGACGCTCGTATCAATGATGTCTTGTTGAACTGTCGTAAACTGTCTACTCGGACTTCCTACACAAGGAAGTGGAATCTATTCCTGCAGTATTTGAATTCCTCAAATCTACCTCCTCCGCCAGTGGATTTGAGGTCTATTTTTGCATTTATTTTGTCCAGAATGGACTTGGGTCTCAGTTTTTCGTCGGTTAAAGTGTATTTAGCTGCGGTGTCAGCTTTTCATCCATCTGTTGATGGGTTTTCAGTTTTCTCGCATCCTCAGACAAAACAGTTTTGTAAAGGCCTTATTCGCCTGTACCCTCCCCGTCGTCCTCCAACCCCGGCCTGGGATTTGGCTTTAGTTTTGCGTTTTTTGATGGGAAAACCTTTCGAGCCATTGGCCACTTGCTCTCTAAAATTGCTGTCACTCAAGACTGCGTTTTTGGTGGCCATTACCTCTGCTCGTCGGGTCAGCGAATTGTCTGCTCTGAGGTGTGATCCACCATACTTAAGTTTTTCCCCACATGGGGTTTCATTGTCTTTGGACATCTCCTTTTTACCGAAAGTTGTTTCGGAATTTCATTTACGTTCAGATGTAGTTCTGCCATCATTTTTCCCGTCTCCTGCTAATGAAGAGGAACGGAAATTGCATTCTCTGGATGTTAAGAGAGCGTTGTTGTTCTATTTGGGCAGGACTAAGTCTTTTCGCCAGTCTCCAGCTTTGTTTGTTGCTCACAGTATGCCCTCCCAAGGGAAGAAGATCTCTTCCCAGAGGCTGTCGAGATGGATTGTGGAGGTGATCAAGCTATGCTACGCTTTGGCTAAGAAACCTCTTCCAGGTCAGCTTCGCGCCCATTCTACGAGGGCGGTAGCAACTTCCACAGCTTTCCTGCGAGGTATGCCGTTGGAGGACATCTGCAACGCTGCGACTTGGGCTACTCCGCTCACCTTCGTGAAGCATTATGCCCTTGATGTCCGGTCTTCTCGTCGTGTGGCGTTGGGTCGGTCTATATTGCAGACGGCGCAGATGTAGGGCCTCGGCCCCTCCTCCAGGTAAGAGTTATTGCTTGCTATTCTCCCAAGGGTGTGATGCACAGAGACCACGAAGAAGATAGACAGGTTGCTTACCTGTAACTGGTGATCTTCGAGTGGTCATCTGTGCATTCACACCACCCGCCCTCCTTCCCCTCTGCTCTCGGCCCTTCATCTTGTTTCTTTGAAGGCTGTTGGGCGGCGGTCAGAAGGAACTGGCGGGATCTGCGTGCCCCTCCTTGGTCATGCGCAGTGGAGCCGGCGCGTGACCTGGGAGAGGCGCGAAAATCCCTTTTGCTAGCTACCGGTACCGAGAAGGTCAGCGCAGGCGCAGTATATTCCCAAGGGTGTGAATGCACAGATGACCACTCGAAGATCACCAGTTACAGGTAAGCAACCTGTCTTTACTGAAAACCCCTCAGATCTCAAAGACCTTCTAGTATTGGGGAATAGACCTTGCAGGATCCAACCCAGTGCTTTGTGGAGACCAGTGTGGTTTCCCCTTAACCGTGAGCCTTGAACCGTGGGAAATCCCTAAAAATAGGAAAAATAATTGTTTGTTCAACAGAATTGCTATATACTTAGATGCATTTTACTTGTGTTTGTTCCGATCAGTTAAGACTCGGAAGCACCTTGACCTGCCTCCTCCTTCCCTTCCAACTTTACTGCCTCGAGCTAACACTTTGTGCTTGGGGACTGTGATGGAGTCGTCGTTCCACAGTTATTTCTGCAGGGCTTCATGTCGAATTATTACTTTGTTCTCATTAGTTCCTGCAATATGGTGTCCTGATGATCTGATGCCTCCCCTTGTGCCATTTTGTCCTCATTCTTCTTTCCCTTTGTACATTTCTAGCGGTCAACCTGCCATGTAAAGCCAAAGCCGGGGTGGGTACACCATCGCGCCTGGAGTGGAAATTTCAGGGTTCCAGTGGCACAGCGTTTGTGTACTATGAAGGCCAGCTGACAGGTACATGGCTGTTTTGGTGGGTGGTGGAAGTCTCAGCTTTCTAAAATGGGAGGATTTTCTAAAGTGCATCTTGGCACTGGACATAGAAGACTTTTACCCAGCATGTTGCCTATCACTGTCTTTCCTGTTACCCACTTGTTTCTCCCCTGTTCTCCAAATCAAAGAGCCAGTCCCGGCTTTCTTCTGCCTCACTGGAGCAGGAGGTGCCTCAAGGAGGCATCACCTTTGGGTCTGCCAGTAAGGTCCATTTGAAAATAGCTTCCCCCCCATAGGAGTTTCTTAGCTGGTTTTTGAGATGGCACTCAAAATTCCAAAAGTGCCTTCCCATAGACTTAAAGTTTGGGGATCCCTGTTGGAAGATGCATCTTCTCCACCTAGAAACCTTTTCCTCTGATTCCTGCTATAGGGCCACTTACAAATGCTGGGGTTAGGCAGCTGTGAGCCCTGGCTGAGGCCACGCTTACAGGTGCTGTAATAGATCTTCTTTTTCTGCAGAAAGCTACAAGAACCGTGCTGACTTCCATCCCAATGAGCTTTATCTCAAGTCGGTCACCCGCAAAGATACGGGGCAATACACCTGTCAGGTTGTTGGCGACATCAACAGCGGGCTTAGGGAAAACACAATCGACCTTGTTGTCCAAGGTAGGAGTGAAAGCAATGGAGGACTCTGATGCTCGCCCTTCGGTAAACCACTCCCCCAGCATTCTCGTCTCTGGCAATAACAGGCACCATGGATTGACAGTCCTTCAACATGCCACGGATGAAAAGGGAGACGTGCTCATAATACCCTGAATGTCATACCAAGGGGCACTTCCTCAGGCTTCCTACCTCTCCCACTGTTTCATACTGCTGAAGGTTGTTGTCTGCTGTATTAATATACCCTGCAATTGTCACCACCTTAACAGCTACTATGATTCATGGAAAGAGATCCTAGGAAAGCAATGTTTCCAGTCCTTTTGCCTGTGCAGTATGGAAGCATTTACTTATTTCCTTCAGTTATACCCTCCCTTTTTCCACAGTGGGGATCCAAAGTGGCTTACATCATTCTCCCCTTCTCCCTTTTACCTTGTGAGATAGGCTAAGGCGAGCATGTGTGACTGGCCCAAGGTCACCCAGCAGGCTTCCATGGCAGAGTTGGGGGGATTTGGACCTAAGTCTCCCAGATCCTAGTCTGACAGTCGAACCACTACAGCTTTCTGCCTGTCACACCATGCTGGCATATTCAGATTATATATCTCAGGAGCTGCAGGATTTATAAAGTGCTGCGCTGTGCATTAGTGCTCATGCGCAGACACTAGCATGCATGTGTGGTAGAGGCCAGATGCATCTGTTTCTCCACCTGGAGATTTCGATGTCTAGAGATTCAGGGGAATGAGCAGAGCTTTCACGAATGGCAGTGCTGCAAACTCCTCCTGTTTATGGAGCTGCAACGTGGTGGCTCCCAAAAGGCCACGATCATTAAATGATTTATCAGGGATGGGACTAGGAAGCCAGGGCACTTTTTGACAAATGGGGGCAGTTGGGGCGTGCATATGAAAGTGATTAAAATGTGGAATTCACTACCAGAGGATGTAGTGATGGCCACAGGGGAAAAAAACCCAGCTTTAATGGGATTATGCAGATTCATGGAGAATAGATCTATCAGTGGCTACTGGCCACGGTGACTGAGAGGAATCTCCGTGTTCAGAGGCAGTCAGCCTCCGAACCCCAGAGTCAGGAGGCAACATCAAGGGGAGGGTCTCTGCCTCTACGCCCTGTTGTTGGCCGCCCAGAGTAACTGGTTGAGGCCACTGTGTGAGACAGGATGCTGGACTAGATGGACCGCTGGTCTGATCCAGCGGGGCTGCGGGCCCACCTCAGTTTGGAGAAGTGTTCTTTCGGTATCTGAGTCCCTGTAATGGCATCTCTTTCCCTTCCAGTTCCGCCCTCCAAACCCAAGGCTCACGTGCCCTCCTCTGTAACCATCGGTAACAGAGCAGTCCTAACTTGCCTGGAGACGGACGGTTCCCCACGGCCCACCTTCAAGTGGTACAGGAATGACATCCTCATGCCCGTGGACCCCAAAACCAACACCCTCTTCAAGAATTCCTCCTACACACTCGACTCCAGTACGGGGGTGCTGGTACGGCCTCGAGCAAGAGCCTTCTTGCAAGTCTTTTTAAAGCCATATATGTAGCTGTCTGGTCTGTTGTGTTCACTGTGGCCTGTTTGCGGGGGGTGGGGGCCTGTCCAGGGCCTTGGACAGCTTGAGAACTTCCCCAGCATCCGCAGCCTGAGAGAGGTCCTCATGTTAGCAGCAGTGGGGCATAGTGGGAGGGAAAGGCAGGCAAGAGAGGCACCATCTGGGGAGTGAGGAAAAGGGGGTGGCCCAGTAGTGTACAGTGTACTGTGTGGGGCATGGGATATTAAACGCTCCGTTCTGTTTCCAGTCCTTTTGCCTGTGCAGTATGGAAGCGTGGATGAGGGATCTTAGGTTTTCATATTTTTGCAGGAAAATCCCTCAGGATCCAAAGTCTCGATCCTTAGAAATCATAGGTTGCTTGCAGCTGTGTTCATAAAACGATGAAATTCGACAGGTCGGTTGTGAGTTCTGTGACGGAATGAGAAAAAAAGAAATACTTTTAACACCATTTCAGGGACTGAAGGGGAGCCTCGTCTGGTTCCCTTCTCCCAACATTTCCTTTGGCTCACTTTGTCTGGAGAGAGCAATACAACAGCTGTGTAATCTTGAGGTTTCTGCTAATGCAGCAGTCAGAGGGACGCGTGAAAGAGCGTAGGTCATTGGATCGGGCATGCGAGACCTCTCCCAGTTCCTGGGAATCTACTTGTGCTGATAGCTCTTCTTCCTCTCTGTCAGACGTTTGAACCGGCGACTTCCTTTGATGTTGGCGACTACGCTTGCGAGGCGGATAACAGCATTGGGGCTTCCCAGAAGTCTGAAGCTGTCCACTTGGAGCCCAGTAAGTATCCCTCAGCTGGCGTCACCTCACCAACCTCAAGGTGGGGCCTGGGGTTCTCCTGGAATTACAACTGATCCCCATATCTACAGACACTAATTCCCCTGGAGGAAGTGGTGCCTTCAGAAGGTGAAGTCTGTGGCATCGCATCTCTGCTAAGCTTCTCTCCAGACACTGCCCCCAATCTCCAGGAATCCCCCAAGGTGGAGTTAGCAACCCAGCCTATGAGGCCAAAGTATCCTTGATGGCTAGTTCTGCAGCTGGCAAGGAACAGAACGTGTGAGAAGAGATATTTGCAATAGAACCAGGTGCTGTCATAAGAACATAAGTATAACCCTGCTGGATCAGACCAGTGGTCCATCTAGTCCAGCATCCCGTCTCACGCAGTGGCCTCAACCGGTTCCTCTAGAAGTCCATCAACAGGGCATGGAGGTCTTGTGGAGGACCTCTGTTTGGGAAGAGAGCCTAGATGGCTGGTTCTCACGTCACATGGCAAACATTTGGACCATCCCCTCCACCAGAGATTCCAGAAGCGCCACAAGTTTCAAGAAGCCTTCATGGCCAAACAGCCGATGTTGAAGTCTGAACAGAAATAGAGTAGTGGGAGTCAAAGAGTCTGTGGCAGATCTGAACAGTGACTGGAGCAAGTTCTAATAGCCAAAGCATGCACAAACACACACAACCCCCCCTGCTGAAGAAGTGTGCTTGCACACGAAAGCTTAGACCTCGAATAAAACTTTGTTGGTCTGAAAGGTGCCCCTGGACTCAAACGTTGTTCTCCCCCTCTCCTGTTTGTTTGAAATCTTCCATTCCTGTAGTGCATTTTAATGTTATGCTTATATATGTAACCATGAAGTTATGCTATGCCCTACAAATTAATGCTGTGCATCTGTGCCATGTTGTGATCATTATTTTCCATAACCAGAAGCACCTAAAGGGATGGTTTTTGGGGAAGCTGTGAATATGAAGAAAGGGGTGACGGTCACAACAGGTCTGAGTCTGAGAATGGATGCTGACAGGAGCTAGGCCCCGTCAGCAATGCTGAGCCAAAGCAGAAGTAGGTTTGGGAACAGTTCCAGCATAGGACAACCTGGTCTAGCAACATTAGGTGGGTTTTTTGGTTGAGGGAAGCCCAGGAAGCTCATGCACCTTTTGGCCAAAATAGCCCGCCATCCAAATTGGTAAAGATCCAAGAGTAGTTGTAAAATCCTGATTGGCTTAGGAGAATGGACAGATGAGCCGAATGAGATATAAAGATCGAGGGGTCTCCAGCAGGAAGTCAGAGAGAGAGAGGATACAAGCCTCTCTCCCTCATTGCCTGGCTTTCAGGTATCCATCCGAAGGAAGACCCCTTGCTGGAGGTAAGGCCTTTTCCCACCAAGTCATCTTTGGCCGCCTTTTGGTATGCCTCACTACCCCTTTCCTGGAGGATTGGTGAGATAGCTAGGGGTTTTCCTTTTGCTTGCTGTTATTGCTCTGTGCTGCTTTATGGAAGGGCTACGGCTTTACTCTAGGCAGGGTAAATCTACGTTGGGCTAAGCTATATGCTCTCTGTACTTCTCTTTGTTGGTGGCATTCTGGAGATTCTTAATGTGATAAAAGGAGGGAGAATTCTTGTTAAAGCTTATGTAGAAGAAGAAGAGAAGAGAGATTGGATTTATACCCCACCCTTCACTACCCAGAGGAGTCTCAGAGCGGCTTACAAACTCCTTTCCCTTCCCCTCCCCACAACAGACACCCTGTGAGGTAGGTGGGGCTGAAAGATCTCTGACAGAAAATGCTCTTTTTCAAGAACAGCTGTGTGAGAACTATGGCTTGCCCAAGGTCATCCAGCAGGTGCAAGTGGAGGAGTGGGGAATCAAACCCAGTTCTCCCAGATTAGAGTCCGTGCACTTTAACCACTACACCAAACTGTACCAACAAAATTCCATGAAACTATATAACCTGGTGTCCAAGCTCTTTCTTTTCCTTGAAGTGTTATTCCCTGCATAAGATTAAAAGATCCCTCTCACAACGCAGGTTAGCATTTTTCTTTAGCACAGATGTCCAGGTTAACACAGGTTGGACTAGATGAACCTGGAGGTCCCTTCCAACCCTGTGATTCTATGAAAACCTCAGGTTTATATGCTCTGACTTTCCATCCCCACCCTTCCTCTTTTTGTGGCCAAACTGTAGTTCTCTTTAGCCAGTGGTTTGCATGGGAGTCCCATTCTGGTTTGGAGGGCAACCAAAACTGTTCTTTGCCATTTTGGATACAAGAGCAAGCTTTATGATTTGCAAGCAGAAGAGGGAAGCGCGGGGGAGTGCACACGCCAAAGGCTCACTCACGTACGTGTGGACAGAGGGAACTGGCCGCAGCTGAGCATGAGATTGTAGAATGAAACGTGGCACTTCACTTCAGATGACAGGAACTGTGTTCTGGATTGCTCGCCACACTCCAGAATACGTATCCCTGCAAATACTAGCTTCTTACTTTGAGGGGTTTTCAATGATGTCTTAGCGTTGAAAAGCATGAGCAGAAATCTCTCCTCTGCCACAAAAGTCACCAGGTGGGCTTTGGCAAGCTGCTATTCTCTCAGCTTTGTGTGTTCAGGATGGGAATAATAGTGGCCTTACCTGGCGGGGGCGGCTGTTGCAGGACCGCATGGGGATGTTCTAAAGTGCTACAGAGATGAGTGGCATCAGTCGTTACATACATTCTCCTTTAGCACAGATGAAAAGGCTGAAGCTGGGAGGAGAGGGTGGGTTTCCTCAGGCTAGCCAATGAGTTGGTGACAGAGGCCGGGTCCAGACTGGGAACTTGCTTAATGGTATGGAGTGCCTAGGGTTGGAGGGTCAGTCTAGTCAGAGGTCTTACCCAGGGCTATTTTTGGGCAGGAAT